CTCGTGAAGTCCACGGTAACAATGACCAACACGGAACAAGAACCCACAAACACAAAGGGAAAACAGACAGTTTAAATATGGCTCCCAATCAGAGACAACCAACGACAGCTGACACTCGTTGCCTCTGATTGGGAGTCACTCTGGCCAACATAGAAATAAACACAACAGAAAGAACACACCCTGGCTCAACATATAGAGTCCCAGAGCCAGGGTGTGACATTATGTGGCTGGGTGATCCTAACCGGTCCTCAGACAGAAGGTCTAGGGCGCGCTGGGTGTTTGGACACCAGAGTTTAGACACTGTGTGTTTTGGGAAAAGTTTATTTTCTTGTATGTATTTCCCATTTGAGTCCATAAGGAGTACAATCTGTGGCTTGTGTATGTCCTCAGTGGGTGTGGGGGGGTCGTCATGAGGGCTATCAGGGTGTCTGACTGGGGGGTTGCTCAGAGGGGTTGGGATCCCCTGGGCTTGGGGTTCTTCACTTGTTTGTCTGGGTGTGATGTCGAGGCTATGATCAGGGTCTAGGGTGTACTGTTCTGCTGCGGTGTCGAGACTTTGGCCAGGATCTGAGGTGGGCTGTTCTGCTGGCTTCTCTGCGGGGGTGGCCAGCTCTCTAATGGGTTGTTCTATGTCACCCGTCATCGTTCTCACCTTCTCCTCCAGCACTCTGATCCTCTCCTCTAGTGCTCTGTTCTTCTCCTGCTCCTGCTCTTTCTCCTGTTGATGTTGTCTCACCACAGTCCAGAGTGCAGACATGTCTCTCTCTACCTGCAGCTCTCCAGGTCTAGTTAAGGGGGTGTTGTTGTGCTGGACTGTTGTCTGGGTCTGTGCTGACTGGAGTGTGTTCACCTGCTGTTCCAGCTCCACCTGCCTTACCTCCAGCTGGGGGAATTTATCCTTAATTTCAATGAGGGAGTAGTACTCTGTGCTGGGAAGTTGACTTTCTGCTTGGGGTTGCTCTGTGGGGTTATTTAATGAAGAGGTCTGGTCTGACCCGCTCGGGGTAGGGGTATCTTTCTCAAGGGAGAGCTTCTCCTGCTGAGCTATTTCTTTGATTATGTGAAAGTCCAGCTGGTGTTGCCTTGAACCAAAACGGTTCCAGATTTATAGAGATTAATATTAGACGACTCAGAGTCCTTGTTGTCCAGTATCCTGAGTTTCCACCCATCGCTAACACCCCCCCTCTTATCTCCTGAGTGGCGCAGTGGTCTAAGGCACTGCATCGCAGTGCTAGCTGTGCCACTAGAGATCCTGGTTCGAATCCAGGCTCTGTCGTAGCCGGCCGTGACCGGGAGACCCATGGGGCGGTGCGCAATTGGCCCAGCGTCGTCCAGGGTAGGGGAGGGAATGGCCGGCAGGGATGTAGCTCAGTTGATAGAGCATGGCGTTTGCAACGCCAGGGTTGTGGGTTCGATTCCCACAGGGGGTATGAAAAAAAAAATAATAATAATGTAAGTCGCTCTGGATAAGAGCGTCTGCTAAATGACGTAAATGTAAATGTAAATGTAACAGAGGGGTAGTGTGCTAGTATAGCACTGTGCCATGCCAGGGGATGGTCTGTGTGGAAGATAAGGTTGCTTATGTTCCCATTTTTATACAAATCAGCAAAAAGTGTCTCGTGCTTCCCCAAAAGAAGTTTCAATTTGTACTCTTTTCGTGTCTTGTCGTTTTTTACATTCAGAGGGTACTGTATTTTAATAACCTCTGAACAGTGGGGGGGGGGGGGGGGGGGTGCTTCTAAGGCCTCTCCATTTAGTTGGGGTAGACTGTACGACTCTCCTGCCATTGTTGGGCTCAAGGGCTTTGACACCTCTCACTTCACACGTCAGTGCTAATTGAAATTGTATCTCTTTGTAGCAAGCTTAAGCTTGGTAGCCTTAGCATTCAGTCCTTATAAAATAAAAGATATCATTGTAATGTATTTTCCTTCTTGGTTTTTGAAAGTGAAAAATAGCTTCAGACTAAACATTACTCACTCAGTTCCAGGTTGGATGGTGTTTTCAGGTTTCTGTTTGTTTCCCAGAGCATTTGCTGTATAGTTTGAGAATAGTAATCCTTGGTAGTAGAAAGCTTTCCAGGTAATTCCGTCCAAAATCAGGTTGTAGGTTTGGAGTTTTGGTTTGGAATGAAGGTTATGTTGTGGAGGGTAGCATCCTGTATATGTCCCTGCCAAAAAATCCTACTTTATCTAACTCTAAATCTATATTTTTTGTTAAAAATGCAGGAGCAATGTCTTTGAGCTCTCTCTCTCTCTCTCTCTCTCTCTCTCTCTCTCTCTCTCTCTCTCTCTCTCTCTCTCTCTCTCTCTCTCTCTCTCTCACCTGGATTGGCATCTCCCTCTAGAAATAACCATTGAGCCCCCCCCCCCCCCCCCCCCCCCCCGACCTTAATTAACATCAACTAGATTCCGACTGATATGTCTTCTTGGTAGAATGCATTACTTGCAGGGGATGTCTTTTTTGCTTGTGTATTTGTCAAAGTAGGGGATTTCCCCTCCATTTGTGGCAGAACTCATCATTGGTTTGTCAAGGCCTTTATTTCAGGATGTTCTAGCTGTTTCTAGCTGTGCTGGTAATCGTTAAAGGGATTACAGGGTTTTTATTATTACAGTGTGGGGCTCTGATGTTTACTCATACCAATGGTTGCAGCACAGACACCACTACTGGGAGAACACTGGCTGGCTGCCCATGTGTGTGTGTGAGTGTGTGTGTGTGTGTGTGTGTGTGTGGTGTGTGTGTGTGTGTGTGCGTGCGTGCGTGCGTACGTGCATGCTTGGTGGGAGCCATCTCCTGGGTTTGTAAATTCATGTTAATCCCCTCCTATCTAATATAACCTGGAGACATAGACAATACTAATGCTGTGATATACTAAACATAGACAGTATTAATGATATACTAACCATAGACAGTATTAATGATATACTAACCATATACAGTATTAATGATATACTAACCATAGATAGTACTAATGCTGTGATATACTAACCATAGACAGTATTAATGATATACTAACCATAGACAGTATTAATGATATACTAACCATATACAGTATTAATGATATACTAACCATAGATAGTACTAATGCTGTGATATACTAAACATAGACAGTACTAATGATATACTGACCATAGACAGTATTAATGATATACTAACCATAGACAGTATTAATGATATACTAACCATAGACAGTATTAATGATATACTAACCATAGACAATATTAATGATATACTAAACATAGACAATATTAATGATATACTAACCATAGACAATATTAATGATATACTAACCATAGACAGTATTAATGATATACTAACCATAGATAGTACTAATGCTGTGATATACTAACCATAGACAGTATTAATGATATACTAACCATATACAGTATTAATGATATACTAACCATAGACAGTATTAATGATATACTAACCATAGACAATACTAATGCTGTAATATACTAACCATAGACAGTATTAATGATATACTAACCATATACAGTATTAATGATATACTAACCATATACAGTATTAATGATATACTAACCATAGACAGTACTAATGATATACTAACCATATACAGTATTAATGATATACTAACCATAGACCATATTAATGATATACTAACCATAGACAGTATTAATGATATACTAACCATAGACAATATTAATGATATACTAACCATTTACAGTATTAATGATATACTAACCATAGATAGTCTTGCCACTTGGGTGGATGTAGTGTGAGCATGGTGGAGTTCTCGTGCTCATCTTACCATGACCCTCGGCCTATCACATGTGAGCATAGTAGATTCAGCATTTGTTTGATGTCACCTATTTCGTTGTTGGGGACTGGGCCAGTTGCTCCTCTCACAGCTTGTGCATAGCTCTGCCTGCCGGGCTGTGGCTCCTCCAGGTGTGGGTCTGTGGTGGGGGGGAGGAGGGTGGTAGGCCTCGTCTGGGTGGGTCTGAAGCTGGGCTGGGGTGGTCTGTGCTGCGCTGGCTGTGGTGGGCATTGAGGTTGGTGGTGCTGTGGCCGTGGCTGGGGGGTCCAGGGTGCTGGTCCGGGGTGTTGTCTCGTGATCTTGGGGGGGTGGCGATTGCTCCGCTGTTCCTGGGTGGAGAGGTCGGGCTGCGGTTTAAAGCGACATCCTTCAGAGTCTTGCAAGGATGGGGACTGTCTCCCTGTACAGGTGAACATGGTCATAGAGACAGTCCAGATTGAGGATGGGATGGTGGGCCAGGTGTACATTGGGTCGCAGGGCACAGTCCCGGGATAGGCTTGTGTTTATTCTTTGGATTGTGGCAGGGTGGAAGTCCTTCCTCTGTAGAAGGGTTGACACCACGATCCTTGAGTTGGGGAAGATTGCGGAGGCCTTCTCAATCACTCCCCGTAGTGAAGTCGCCACCCTCTCCTGCTGAGCACGCAGGTCGTTGCTTCCGGTGTGTATGATTATGTGGCTTGGCGACCCGAGCTGGGCCTTATCAAGCAGCGCCATGGCACTCTGCGTTGTTGGGCACCACACATTTTCGTTTTGTGTCTAGGGAAAAGTTTATTCTCCCATTTGAGTCCATCAGCAGGACAATCTCAGCCAGTGTTTCTTCTGGACTGGAGGGGGTAGAGTTAGGGCTGGTGGGTGTTGGTGCTGGGGTGTGGCTGGTCTGTGCCGGTGCCGCTGTCAGTGTGAGGCTGTTCTGTTGGCTGGGGGGGAGGCATGCAGCCGGCAGGGCTGGGGAGGCCTGGCTGGTTGAGGTGGGCTCCTCTGCTGTGTGAGGGCAGGTCATAGAGTGGTGATCTAGCTGCTCCTGCAGCCTGTCCTCTGTTCTCTTTCTCTCCTGCAGATCCTCTCTTAGTGTGGTCAGCTCGTTATTACTGCTCTGCCTGTCTTTTTGGAGCTCTCTCACCTCCTTTGTTAGATCAGCCAGCTCTCTCTTGAGTCCGTCTCTCTCTTGCTGAACTTCTTTCAGCTGTGTTGCAAGGCTGCTGTCCTGCTCTGTACGCACCTTGGTTAGGAGCTCCTCTAATGTGTGGATGTCTGGTTGCTGTTTGCTCACACTCTCCCTGAGCAGGACCACCTCCCCCTCCAGTTTGGTGAACTAATCCCTCATGGCAGCCATGGTGGTGAGGAGGGCCTGAGCCTGCTCTGCACTGAGGGGGTCGCTCTCCTCCTGGGGCGTGTCTTCCACTATGGTGGGAAGAGAGGTGCTGGTGGAGTTTGTCTTGTGGGAGGGCATGTCACTGGTGGTGTCCTTCTCTCTCTCTGCTCTCTCCTTAATGGTCTGAAAGTCAGTTTCAAACAGCTTAAGGTTACCTTGCACCATGACAGTCCCAGTCTTGTAGAGGTTGATTGTTATCATGGTGCTGTCAGTGTCGTCTGTCTCTTTGACTTTCAGCTTCCACCCATTACAGATTCCCTCTTTGTTTATGGATGGGTAGTGAGAGCAGACTGCTGAGCGCCATGCATTTGGCTGGTCAGTGAGAAAGATGAGATTAATCACATCACCGTTTTTGTAAAGGTCTGTGAAAAGGGTTTCTGGCCTCCCCTTTAGCAGTTTCTGTTTAAAAGCTTTCCTTGTTGTGTCATTTTTGGCCTCTGGGAGGGTAGAGAATGGACTCAGCGCTGAGGGGGAGTGGGGACATGGTGCCTGTGGACCTCTGGGAGGGTAGAGAATGGACTCAGCGCTGAGGGGGAGTGGGGACATGGTGCCTGTGGACCTCTGGGAGGGTAGAGAATGGACTCAGCGCTGAGGGGGAGTGGGGACATGGTGCCTGTGGACCTCTGGAGGGTAGAGAATGGACTCAGCGCTGAGGGGGAGTGGGGACATGGTGCCTGTGGGCTCTGCTACTACTGCTTCTGCTCTGTTCTGCTGCACCGTTGCCATGGCAACCAGTTTTGTTTTTCTGCTGCTGTTGCTAGCTAGCTCCTGTTTAGCTCAAAAACCAGCAAAAAGAGTGAAAAATCTTCACACACAAAAACAGAAGATATGTTTAATGTTAGAGTCCGTGCTTCTTTTTGATTTACTCACTCAGTTTGGTCGTTTGATGTAGTTGTATTAACTCCCCTTGCTAGGTTTGTTCTAGCTCAATTTTCTGGCTGGCTTGTTAGCCTGCTGGCTAGGTTTTTGTTGTGTAGCTAGCTAGCGAGAGTCAAAACTTCTTAATTTGAGGTGCAAAGTTACTTTTTTTTCTATTCTGATTGAATAGAGTTGTTGTTAATCTTGAATTCTTTTTAGATTCGAGTGTTTATCTCATTCAAAAAAAAAAAAAAAGGGAACTAAATCAGGAGCTCATGTTGAGCATGTCTCTCTCGCTCTCTCTCTCTCTCTCTCTCTCTCCCTCTCCCTCCCCTCTCTCTCTCTTTCCTTCTTCTCCTCTCCTCTCTCTCTCCTCTTCTCTCTCCTCTCGCTCATCTCTCTTCTCCTCCTCTCTCTCTCTTCCTCCTCTCTCTCTCCCTCTCTCCCTCTGCTCTCTCCTCTCTCCGATCCTCTCTCTCCGTCCTCTCCTCGTCTCTCTCTCCTCTCTCTCTCTCTCCTCGTCTCCTCTCCTCTCCTCTCGTGCTCCTCTCTTTCCTCTTTCTCTCTCTCTCGCTCTCCTCTCCTCTTTCATTGTGCTTTAGCTTTGCTGTGTGTCTGGAAGGAGCTGTGTGGTGTCGGGGTAATGAGACCACAGATAATTAGAGGCCTGTGTCTTACAGAATGACATTCCCACAGAACCCAGGACGACACAGTCACATTTACCATCTGTGTCTGTGAGGCTTTAGCTCTGGGAGCTAACACGAGTCTTCAGGTGTCATGCAAGGTTACTCATCACGTGAGCGCGGTTCACCAAACCTTGACCTACATTACACTAGCAGTGCTGGTATCTCTGGCAGGGGTAGAGTTAGGATGTGCAGTATACATGGTCACATGACTGATGGATCTGTCAACACCCACCCTCCACAGTATCAGCATCAGGAATGCTACCCATCTTTATGTGTGTGTGTGTGTATGTGTGTACTTCATTGACCTAGCTGTTGCGCCAAGTGTCTGTCCACTGACTAAACATCTCTGTCTGAGAGAGAGAGCGAGAGAGAGAGAGAGAGAGAGAGAGAGAGAGAGAGAGAGAGAGAGAGAGAGAGAGAGAGAGAGAGAGAGAGAGAGAGAGAGAGAGAGAGAGAGAGAGGGGGAGAGAGGGAGAGAGGGAGAGAGGGAGAGATGGAGAGATGGAGAGGCCATCAGATAAGCATATTTCCACCACCTCTTCACAACTGTGTTTTAAAGGAAGATGACTGACAGGGAACACATGCACCTGAACTCACCACTCACACTGAGTAATGTCATTAGCCTCCCAACGCTAACGATTTGTACCCACTCTCATTAGCCTCCCAACGCTAACGATTTCTACCCACTCTCATTAGCGTCCCAATGCTAACAATTTGTACCCACTCTCAGCCAAAACAGGGTTTTTTTGGCTAATTCAATTTTTTGGGTTAATTGAGTGCTAAGGCTAAAATCTTTCCATAGGAGAAGCGACTGTCCCTTGTGACATGGTTCTAACCCATATGTGTCTGTAGGTCTAGCTTTATCTTTCAGGCTGTCTGTCTGTCTGTATTTTAGTCTGTCTGTCTGTCTGTCTGTCTGTCTGTCTGTATGTCTGTCTGTCTGTCTGTCTGTCTGTCTGTCTGTCTGTCTGTCTGTCTGTCTGTCTGTCTGTCTGTCTGTCTGGCCATCAGCCTGTGTAAGTCTGTAAGCCTGGTCTGCAGAGCTCAGTTGAAAGTCTTGTCTGTATTTGAGTTATCATTGATTGATATACAGTAGCAGACAGATTGATTGCTGGACGGAGGTGATTACTCTTTTTGCCTGGCTTAATGAGAGTTGAAGGTGGTAGAATCTGTGCCTGGCTTAATGAGAGTTGAAGGTGGTAGAATCTGTGCCTGGCTTAATGAGAGTTGAAGGTGGTAGAATCTGTGCCTGGCTTAATGAGAGTTGATCCATGGGGGAGATGTTAACCTTTTACTCCAGTGGGCTAAATCAGGGTAGTCTTAAACAAATCTACTTTGAAAAAAAAGTATACACCTCACACACGGTTATGGAGTTTAAAAAAGAAGACACCTGCACCATGTCAGATATAGAGTTGAAATCTATTCAATTTTAAGTTTGCATCACAATATTACACTTTATATACATCACAGAAGACGGAAATATATCAAAACCGCTTGACAGAGAAACACCGGATTTTTGGCAGGTTTTTTAAATAATGTTCATTAATTATGAAATTCTGACAAATATTTATAATATTCCACCCATGAGGCCACTACGCCATTTGACTGCAGGAAAGGGCTACTCATACTATGAGGAGATTCCCCTCCAGAATCCAGATAGCAGGTAGATCAATCTCTCTGTTTAAGAGGAGTTGAGATGAGACATATCTGGTAAGTGGTAAGTTTAGTCCTCCGTAACATCCAGTCCAAAGGCTTAGTTTTGGTATCCACTGTGTGTGTGTGTGTTTTTGGAATGGTATCAAATACATCAAAGATGTGGTTTCCATGGTTTCCATGTGGTTGATACCATTCCATTGCGCCATTCCAACTATTTTTATGAGCGTCTCCCTCAGCGCTCACTGGTGTGTGTGTGTGTGTGTGTGTGTTCCATGTGTATGCATGACTGTGTGTGTGTGTGTGTGTGTGTGTGGGTGCATGTGTATGCATGACTGTGTGTGTGTGTGTGTGATGTGTGTGTGTGTGTTGTGTTGGTGTGTGCATGTATATGCATGACTTGGTGGTTGTGTGTGTGTGTGTGTGGTGTCATGTGTATGCATGACTGTGTGTGTGTGTGTGTGTGTCTGTATGCATATGTTTTGTGTGTGTTGTGTGTGTGTTTGTTGTTTGCATATGTATGCTGATGTGTGTGTGTGTGTGTGTCATTTGTATGCATGACTCGTGTGTGTTGGTGTGTGTGTTGTTGTGTGTGTGTGTGTTGTTGTGTGTTGAATGTGTATGCATGACTGTGTGTGTGGTGTGTGTGTGTGTGTGTGTGTGTGCTGTTGTGTGTGTGTTGTGTGTTTGTGTGTTGTGTGTGTGTGTGTGTTGTGTATGTGTATGCATGACTGTGTTGTGTATGTGTGTTTTGTGCATGTGTATGCATGACTGTTTGTGTGTGTGTGTGTGTGTGTGTGTGTGTGTGTGTGGCATATGTATGCATGACTGTGTGGTTGTGGTGTGGTGCATGTGTATGCATGACTGGTGTTGTGTGTGTGGTGTGTGTGTGTGTGTGTGTGTGTGTATTTGTGTGTTTTGTGTATGTTTGTTGCATGACTGTGTGTGTGTGTGTGTGTGGTGTGTGGTGTGTGGGTGTTTGTGTGTGTTGTGTGTGCTGTGTGTGTGTGTGTGTTGTGTGGTGTGTTGTGTGTGTGTGTTGGTGTGTGGTGTGTGTGTGTGTGTGTGTGTTGTGTGTGTGTTGTGGTGTGTGTGTGTTGGTGTGTAGTTGTGTTGTGTTGTGTGGGTGGTGTGTGTCTGTGTGCTGGTGTTCTTTGTGTCTGATCTGTCTCTGTTTACACACTAACAGGAAGCTGCTAGTCCAAAGGGAGGACACGCCTGGACCGGACACACACACACACACACACACACACACACACACACACACACACACGCAAACACACACACACACACACACACACACACAGAGACAGCTGGGTCCATCCCTCTAAATTGTCTCTATTGATTCACCCAAGGTGCTCCTGTTAGCACAGCTCAGGTATCAACTAGCTCTCACAGTCTCACGTCAGAATCAATGTTTCTCAAACGTCAAATTGCAAAGTGTTTAAGGTTACGTTTAGGCATTAACTCCGCATTTTTAAGATAAAAATCTTAAGGTTAGGCTCACTGTTGCCCCTAGTGGTCAGTTTCCATGTCATCCCCTCGAGCTCCTCAGACATGGATGAATGTCAAATACTGACTTGTATCACGGGATGATCTGGCTGCAGTTATACTCTATGAGAGAAATCCAAAGGAATGTTGGAGTGGAAGTGCTGTGTAAGGTAACCAGCCTGCAGGATCCTATGATGGTTGCTACTTCAGATTCCTTGTCTGGTAATATTCAGATTCCTTGTCTGGTGATATTCAGATTCCTTGTCTGGTAGTATTCAGATTCCTTGTCTGGTAATATTCAGATTCCTTGTCTGGTAATATTCACATTCCTTGTCTGGTAATATTCATATTCCTTGTCTGGTAATATTCAGATTCCTTGTCTGGTAATATTCAGATTTCTTGTCTGGTAATATTCAGATTCCTTGTCTGGTAATATTCAGATTCCTTGTCTGGTAATATTCAGTGGCTTGTGAAGAGGTACTGTAGCTGCGTGCATTGGCCTGCTCCCTCCTCACACTGGGGCCTTGCTGTGGACCATGTTCAGACCGTGTCGTCCGGATTCAGGGTTGTTCTTGGGACCGTGATGAGGAGCAGTGACATTCAGACAGTCTTAATGATGCACAGGGGCGTGGACGATCACGTTACGGTCCACCGTGCTGGACTGTTTCAGAACCCATCATGGTCACGTTAAGGCGATGGGCTGTTTCAGAACCCAACATGGTCACGTTGCGGTGCTGGGCTGGTTCAGAACCAAGCATGGTCACGTTACGGTGCCGGGCTGGTTCAGAACCCAGCATGGTGGCCTTATCAGCATTCTTTCACAATAGATGTGTGTATCGGCAGCATAAACACCTGCCTGGCGCCCGAACCAAAATCTTTATTTTTACACCCCCCCCCCCCCCCCCCCTAACAAAACCGCTACAGAACTGGCGGCCAAACAGGGGCCCTGGAGAAAAGCACCCTTGGCACCACACACAAAGATGTTAAATCATGTATTTTGTTGGAACCCCATACTGTGTCAATGTGGACACGCCTAACGGAAATTATTATTTCATTGTGGAAGGACTCCATTGTGTAATGGAGTTGGAGAGCACTGTCCCTTATGCCCAGGCTTCTGGTTCGTCAATAACCGCTCCACCATTACCCTCCCTTCAACCTCTTCCTGTTACCCTGCCCAGACAGACTGGGAGAGGTGTCTCTGTGCTCTCTGGACACATGGAACAACAATGGACACACACCAACAGTAGTTTGACAATGCAGGAGAATGGCATTCGCAAACTCATTGACAGTGTGGATGCCCATCAGAAAGATGTGCAGCTGATGTTGGCTCAGCTCCCCCGTCAAATGGAGGAAAACCAACAACAAACTGTTCAGAGACAGAAATATTTGAAACATTCTCTGAAGCAGGAGGTTCAAGGGAAAATGCAAAGTTTCCAAACACTCATAGAAACTAACCATCATCTAGTCATGAGTCATGACCTATCATGAGTAACAAAAACTGAGAGCAGAGGAGTCAGCCTCTGCTGTGAAGGAAGTGTGTTCTCACCTGACAGATGTTATGGAGGCCATGAAGAA